TGAATTCTTTGCTTTGCTCTGTTTTTTCTCCCAGAGTCCAAATTGAATTTGGACATTACTGTGCTAAATCTTTGCTTTGTGAAAGAGATGAAGGCACTTCATGTGCCAGCTCTTGTTTCGTTCAGACTCTTTGCAGTGTTATGACAAGCCTTAATATTAATGCAGAACAACAGTGAAAAATGCCTGAAATGTATGCAACTGCTGATCCAAATATTTTATCCAAACATACCTACTGAGTTGTATATACTGAAACACAACAAAATATATTCTAAGCTACATATTCATTCATTTGACTGATGGGAACAGTTACCTTCTAATTTCTACTCCAAGAATAAACAAAATCAAGAAACAATGTGTTTAAACAAAGAAAATTATATTAAGAAACTGATAAACAGAGCTAGTAAGAAGATTTCATTTTCATTTGGTAGAAATTTCTTACTTTTCTGTAACCAGATAGCATTCGGCATGTCTTAATATTAGGTTTCTAAAAAAATGTAGGCAGGCATGAGATATAGTTGCAGAATAATCAAAAGTTTAGGTCAATGGGACCTACATATTTTTTTCATAAACAGACTAATAATAGACTGTTTAATCTAGTTGCATCCTGGCCATACTAAAATTTTCACCATGGTCACTGGCTCGCCTTACTCAGTTATACCAGTGCAACATACCAGTACATTCAAAATTCAACTGCAGTTGGTAGCTGACAAGTCTCAGGAGATCAAATAAAGAATGTAGGACTCTCTCAAGATGTGGATCCCCTGAGACCTGTCTGTTCAGCATTTTGTTTTGGATGCCCTCATTTTTTTATGTCCAATCCAAGGTATTTTTAAAGAACCTCAACTTTCAATACTTTCCGTGCAGTATATACTGAAAAGGAAGAGCATAAAACTGTGCAAGAGAATGTGAAGTCTGGCCATTAAGGTACAGCAATGGGGATGCTAGGATATGATACCTAGGCTGCCAGGAAAAAAGATCCATTTTCACTCTAATATAGTATTGTTTTTCACTGATGCAAGTGATCTCATATTAGGCAGGAGAAGAAAAATAATACTTCCAATATGTCTTACAAAACAAAAGATTCAAGGTCGCCCTGTCATCCTCTGACCAGCTCAGGGAAATCATGTCTTTGCAGGGATGCTGCCTCAGCAAAGCTAACAAAGTTCCTATCCTGACATGTTGGAGAGGAATCAGATCTGAAGGTTGGGCAACACCACAATGCAATCTGCTAGCTATAGAAGTGCAGTACTAAAGGATATTTGATGACAGCTTATGCTGTAAGAGGCATGCAATACTTCTGTAGTAACAGGCTACTTGCCATGGTTAGAACAACTGAATCACTTGTAACAGTTTTCACAACAAATATTGGTTTCTCCTCCACAAATGAACACTGAAAGAAACTCACAAGAACTTCATTACAAGATATTAGGGGTTGCTACCCCCACATTACTTTACTGACACTAACCCACAAAAGCAAGGAAGCAATTAGTACAGAGCCATCTACTCCTCCAATTTACAATTACCACTTTTCATACTTCTGCCCACACCCCTTTACTAAATTACCTCTCTCCTGTCCCAACAGTTTGGGGTGCTTCCTGTAGTAGCTGGCTGCATTAGAAGAAGGTAATTTGGGAAAAGGTAACATACAGAAGAGCTATTAAAAAGTGGTGACAAAAGACTGGCATCTCTGAGGCAACTGCAAACAGAGTTGAGTTTGCAATGCCCTCTATAAAGTAGTCACATTTATATTAAGGCACACACTTGTAAGTCGAGTACAACATATGTTAAGCTGACCGTTAAGAAACTGTTCACTTTCTCCTGAATTTGGTTGGAGCCTGTTAAATGTGTAGCAACCTTACTTGCCTCACAACAAAGGGGATTTTTTGGTATCGACTTCTTAGATGATTTTTCTTCTTAAAGGCTAACAGGGATCGGCCATATTTCTTTGGGGAAGAAGACAATAGCAGCTGCTCATGGGGAATATTTCTTAAGAGCTGCAAATGATTCCTTCTCCATTACAGCATATCTAATAGAAAAACATCCGAGGTTAGTGTTTTTGTGCATACCTAGCCCACTGCCAGCTTTGCATATACACTGTGCTTAAATTTCTAGTTATTATGTGAATATGACTAACAGTGACTCTAAATCCAGTACTTCCACTTGATCCACTCAGGTTTTATCATATTTTGAACAGACTACTTATGTTTAAGGTGTAAGTCAACAATGAAAAGTATACCTAAATAAGGAAAATTTTCATCCAGAAATTAAGTTCAGGATGATTTCCTATTGAAATGCATCAATAGAAACCAATCAACCAAACAAACGGAACACAAAGAACAGTCAATGAGCATAAGTATAAAACTTATGTGACGTTTCATAATAAATGACATACTATTTTTTTTTTTAGAAGAAATAAAGAATTTATACCCTACTTTAAAACACAATTCCAAGTACACACACAGTACCAGGTACCTCGACAATTATATAAAATTTTTAAATGGCCCAACTTGGGGCTTTTTCTTTTTCAAGCTTCCTTCTGAAAACATCTTCCTGGTAGAAACTGAGTAGCAGCAGCTAGAGAACTGAGCCTGCTACCACCCCTGCACACTGGACGAGGCCTGCAGATCAACCCAGCACAAAGGATCCAGGGCTGTATGCTGTATCCAACCACAGACCAACCCCATGAAGTGGCCTGATCTGGCAGGTAGGGCCATGTCATCTAGCACATGAGCTCCCCCATGAGTTCAGAAATTTGGCAGCGGGGGAGCAGTGACAGCATTAACTGCCATGGCTCCCAGAGTAGTGACAATAAACACTACCACTGATTCATAGATTCATAGATTGTTAGGGGCTGGAAGGGACCTTTTAAGATTATCAGGCCCAGCCCCCCTGCACTAGGCAGGAAGGACAACTAGGGTCAAGTGAACCCAGCGAGGTGACTGTCCAGTCTCCTCTTGAAGATTTCTAGGGTAGGTGATTGCACTACCTCTGGAGGGAGCCTATTCTACAGTCTGGACACAGTTTCATAGTTTGTAGGGTCGGAAGGGACTTTGACAGATCATCAAGTCTGACCCCTTCCATGGCAGGAAAGAGCACTGGGGTCAAACGACCCCAGCAAGGTGTTCATCTAACTGTGAAGAAGTTTTTCCTAGTGTTAAGCCTGAAACAGTCTTCCAGGAGTTTGTGGCCATTACTCCTGGTCTTCCCCAAGGATGCCCTAGGGAATAGTTGCTCGCTGAGCCTCTGCACCAGGAGGGCAGCCTCCTGTCCTTGGGCCTCTGGCTCCTCCTGCCCAGCCAGGCAATCAGTGGGGGCTCCGGTGCTCCTGTCCAGACCTTCCCACGTGGAAGTGGTTCCCAACTCCTGCCCAAGAGTCTCGGTTTCCTCTGCCACTGACTGACTGGGCTCCTCCCCTGGGCAGTTACTCAGCCTGACCTCAGGGTCACCAGTTTCCTCAGCAGCTGGCTGGCTGTTGCAGTTAGGAGAATTATCTTCCTTCCTCCCTCCTGCCTCCACAGCCAACAGGGTTACCTTACTCTGGGCGGTTTCCCCATCTCCTGTCGTCACCTTCTTGCTGTGCTGGCAAGTCACCGTGTCAGGGAAGTTACTCAGAAACACCTCTGGATGCTCCCTGCCTTTATACAGCTTGAAGATTGGGGTGTCTATTCTGGGGGGGGTGCAGCTGGCATCTGCAGGGACAGACCATCCAATTGCTCTGAACGGTGTGCTTCGAGAGTGAGCTCTTGCTGACGCTCGAAATGGGCCTCATTAGCCTCATGCTTGTACTGGAGCTGGTCAACCTCTCTCTTTCAATTTCTCCACCAGTTTGGCCACAGTCATGTGGTCATACTCGTCAGACATCCTAGCTAGCTACTCTATCCAGTTGACCTGATGCCAAATTAAGGATTTGTTTGCTTAAGGGTCTTCAGTGACTCTACTTCCTTTCCCCAAATTATGCCTTCTAGACAGCAGGCTGGGGGATCCCACCACCAACAGCATGTGTGGCAAGCCAGTAGGATCCCCACTGCCAAATTTTTGGACCTATAGGGATCCGTTTTCCTTGCATACAATGCATGACCCAATTTTCACCAGCTGCTTTTAGGGGAGAAGGTATGGGGTATATGTGGTAACATCAGCAGCTTTTACCCACGGTGGCAACTTGCTGAAACATTAATGCTAATACAAATTTTCTCTGTGCAATTCACTGCTAATGGTACATAAAACAAGTAGTACAATGTGTACATAATCTGAAATAATTAAGTAAGTTTTACACCAATATGTGGTGTTCCAAGCTGTTCACTGTTTCCTCAAAAGGACAAGTTTCTTTTTTGGTCTGTATGGATAGTAAAAAAAAATCCCATAGCACTTAAGTGGGAACATGGCTTAACCAGTGTGCCACTTGACAATTTCCCTCCTTTCTACCCTTGAATAGCATATACTAGTTGCCTCCCCTCAACCCAAGAGCTGAATGTGTTTCCTTTGTATGCACAGGTTGGAATGCTAGTGATGCTAGCAATTCTTTTTTCCTATGTCCCTTTTTAAGAAATCTGAACATATATTTAAAAGCAATTATTTTTCCACCAGCTCATAGCCCTTAGCAGAGAGCAGTATGAGTGTACCAAAGGATGCATCGAGCCACATCAGTGAAATAGAAGCAAAAATTTGGTCCATTAACTGGGAAGACCCAATTCAAAGCTAAGCTGGTATCTCCCCCTTTGCTAGTTAACATGACTAAAAGATTACACAGCTGTCACTTTCTTCAGTTAATTCTTGACTACAGGTGCTTTTACAGTTTTAAAAGGAAACAAGTGGTACACAATAGGCAAAAATATTTTTAAAAAAAGATCTCTCTTTCTGATACCACTATGACTATTTCAGATGTTAACAGTATACGCAAACATGGTAATTTTACCTCCTGCTTCAGTTTTGTCCAAACATCTCTGACCCAATTCCTTATTTCCTTTTGTCAGACCTTCAGTAGTTCCCACATTCAAGTTGAAGATGTAGGAGGCAATAATTGATCCTTTGCCTGCGGAGTTGCCTTTGACCTATTTTAGCGCACAGACTGCTAAAATATTTCTGCCTTTTTCAGGAAAAGTACTTTACAATTTGTCTGGATTTTCAGAAGCGCTGACTTTAAATAATTTATGGATATATCCCAGCATGATTAAAATTCCTACTGTATTCAGCCACTCCTCCAGAATCTTCAAGTCCCTCAGATATTCTGTAACGTACCAATTTGCAATGTGATCAACTCAGACTATTACTAAGACAAAACTTAATTCTATATTAATTCTAAATTAATACTATAGTTCAGAGGTGTGTATGCCTTATAGCTACAGTGCAAATGACATTCACCCTTGTGGGAGTGAATCCTATATGGCATGCTTTTTAGAAGTGAGTATGTTACAGTAACCCCATAACAGCTAACATCTGTGCTACTGCATGCAAAATATGGCATATATTTTACATGGTTTATTAGAATTGGGAAACCATCAACAAGTTATGAACATTTTATGCCACTTCATTCACTAGACTCAGGAAGAGTCCACCCATGTTCTCCTAGTCATACGTGAAGGCAATGATTAAACAGTTACACTAGAAATAAGGCTTTATATTTTCACAACCACTTTAAGAATAGAACCATGCAATATTCTAACTGAAAGGCACTTACAAGGTGTTTTTTCTGATGAATGGCTCACAAACAGTTGTTATAAAATGGTTAGTCCCACAAAATGAAGATTAAGGTAATGGCAGAGTGTGTTCATGGATAGGTTCAATTCAGGATTCTCCCTGGAAATTTAGGATTCTCCCTGGAAAAGGTGAACATCAAGCTACAAACTACAATAATGCAGTTCCAAAAAAAGATTCCCCGGTTGACTTGCTAACTGTGATAGGATATTTTAATTTTTAAAAATAAAGTATGAAGAGACCTCACAGTTTTCCTATACCAGTATTTCAAAGAAGTGAACAATTAAAGTTATATTCACCAACTCTCACCTCTGCAAAGTCATTAATAACCAAAGCATGTTTAATCATACAAGATTTTACACTCACTTATAGGTTTGCCTTTCACAAGGTATCAACCTTACCCTTAACTGTGGGAAGAAGCCCATGTTTCAGGGCTTTAGAGGGCTGGGCTGCCTGCAGAGGCCAGGAATGAATTTGTTTTCCCCTCATAAATAGTTTGGAGCTTCAGATGATTTTTTGTTTGTTCCTTCCTGTAAAGTAGTCTCTCTCAACCTTGTTATACTCAAGGCACTCATCTTTATATTCAAGGCACCCTTTAGAAAATGTCAGCTCTTTACTTTTGCTCATGTTTTGACTACAGACAAATAATAGAGCAAGACTTTTCTGTTGCAAAGAACTCAGAAAAACCAAAACAGTTTTTTTTTAACATTATCAACTTCCATTTGAAAGTTCTGGGTTTATCTTGTGACTTGTGTAGGTGTTTGTGTACCTACCAGTGCTAATATTAAAAGAATCTCATGGCACTCCAAGGCTCCTCATCACCCTTGTTCAGAATCACTACTCTAATACTTTGATCACTGGTCATAGCTAAAGATGGGAATTTTGATGGGCATGAATTGGCACACCTGCTAGTATTTAGAATCACTACAAGGACTTTGGTGAAAGGTCTTGGCCTTCTGCTCAGACCTAAAATTTGGGGTTGGAAGGAATTTATCTCCCAGGCCCAATGGCAAGGATAGTGAGAGGTTTTGATTTCCTTTGTATCATGAGGTATGACCCTCTCCCTGTGATTCTTGGAGCATACATCATTTGATTCTCCACTTTTGCAATGACAGGACATGCCCACGAGCCCTCATTTTACCTGTGGCATACTGTAGGGTGGTTTTTGTTTTGTTGTATGCTTTGTGGTTATGGTGGGTGAGGGGTTGGAGAGGAGGATTTTTAGGACTCACGGATACATGGATGCCTGGACTTGATGTCCCAGAGGGCCATTTCAGGCCCGTTTTCCTGTGTAGCTATATCAGAAGTTTGATACATGCATGCTTTACATGATGCCTGAAGGCTCAAGGCTTGGGGTTGGAGAAGTACACTCATTTAGGTAATGAAATAAGCCATTCTCTGCACTTCCAAGCCACTAGTCAAGCAGAAGCCATTGAAAAGTAATGTGATTCTCTTCTGAAAAAAAAGTAGAGCATATCATGCATACTTCTCTCTCACCGGCAGCTTTTTGAAGTTTTTAGGAACCACAAGAATACAGCAGGCCCTCTTTTAAAAAGAGCCAAAGAGCAAGCAATAAAATGGTTTTATTTAAATATATGACAGGCTACTACTTAAGGAGACTGGCAGAGAAATACAGTAAAAGAACTGAAGCCTCCTAACCCCTTTCTACCACCCCCATACTCTTCAATTCACCCTGTTCAATTAACAGACAGTAATGATGTAAGTTTTTCACTGAAGTATTGGGTAAGGTGGGAAAGACTACCTACAGCTGAGTCCTAAGACTTAAATTGTGAACTGATCTCTAATTTTACCAGTAGGGGTTAAAGTAGCTCTCAATTTGCCAATTCCAGCCCTGAGAAAGGAGCTGCAAAGTTATCAAAGTGGTTTTGCCATCAAAAGACACTTTACTCCCTCAATTTTTGTTTCAAATCACGATTCATGATTTTCCCTA